GACTTGCGTTTGATGTCGTTGGCTCCAATAGACACTGATTAGAGAAACATAAAATCAGTCAATATGGAATCAGTCAATCCCCAAATTCCAAAATAGGGACCCCCTACCATAATTAATTTCGCTCATTATTATGGGTGTTTCATTCATAAACTGTCTTTTCTAAAAATACTTCGTCAGCAAAATCAAAATGAAGCTAGACAATGTTGGCCTATAATGTATACAAATTTTGTTATTTTTTGCCTGCTGAGGAAGGCAAACTATAAATGGTATGATTTGTTAAAATTATATTTCATTCCCGGGTCTCGATTTTTTCGCAGGCCTCATTATCTCTTTTGTATATAGATTTGTGCAACACCCCAACACATCATGTTCATATAAGGCGATAAATAAATATATAAATATTTAATTCATTTACAGACTTACGTTTTGTCCAGAATTTGTCCATCTCAATGCAGTTCCAGCGGCCTTCTTCTAAAGTGAAAATGATTCCATTGCTGTCGCGGCGAGGGCACAGGAACACTCGCACAACTGCGTGCTTAGCGACGTCGCTGTTGATCTCAAACTTGTAGGTGAAGTCGTTATGGTTGAGGCGAGGCACAATCGAAGACACATTAACTTCATTGACGGATTCGCTAGAATCAACCGCCATCTTCAGATCAAACTCGAAATCTTCGAAGTTAGTTTCCAATTTTCCTTCGACACCAACGCTTGTCAGGTGAACTCCAGGGAATCCAATTTCCTCCGCAGTGTAGGGAGGAAGGGAGTCCTTGTGCTCTTTGAAGATGTTATCTATGTACTTGTGCAGCCTGAAAAAGGCAGGATCGCGAATGGCAATTTGGTGGTGCTCCATGACACTCGGAATGAGATTGAATTTCCCATTAGGATCAGGTGTTCGACCCAAGATGACGTGAGCTCTATTGTGGAGCGCTCCATAGAATTGATCGTTAAGGCTGTAATGAGATGATTCGAGAATGTTTCCAAGATGAACAATGCCCTCGTTGTTTTTTATGTCTATTCTGGATCCATTGGCGGCGGTGATATACCCAAGGCAAATGGCATTGCGGATTCGGGCCTCATGAATGATCATATCTCGAACACGAGCAACTCCTGCAACATCTTCAAAATTCACGTTATCGGAACGTGAAGGGAACTCAGTGCCGTACCTGTAAGTCATGTGTGGGCAGAAACCTTCTTTGATGGGCCTGTCCCAGTGAAGTTCGTTGACACATTCCAGGTTATTCGACAGGCGTTCGGCATCATAACGGGCGATAAGCTGGTGATGGCTCCAGAAAAAGAATTCACCTTTGCGGTCAAGATGGTGACCGTAAGCATCGTTCCACCAGAAGGGGAAGTGCAAATGCCAGATGAAGTGGTGAAAGTTCATGCCGATATCCTCGGTAAAGTAGGCAACGCGTTGTTCTGGGTTCTTCTGACGGCTATTGAATTCTTTTCGGAACTTGCCAGGTGTTTGAATCATCTGAGCAACGTAGGCGCGAGCAATCACATCGGAATTGGTGAACATATGAGGGGTGACTTCATAAAGTGGAGGTAAGACAAGACCATCCCACAGTTCGGAGTGAATCACTGTTGCATAAATGGCATACATAAACTCCCCTTCATTGACTCGTTCTCGGAAGTAAGCCGCGTTGTTGACCGCCGTATCCCATGTTCTACAGTTCATGAAGACATCAAAAATCATGAGCGCTTCTTCACGCTGGCGAGGGATGGAGAGGGAGAACCAGTGGTGCTTCTTTCAGTTCTTTCATGAGCCGTGTGACAGCAGCGCCATCATCTTTGTATAAGGAGATATCAGCATCGGGAATGAAGTTAGCGGCGACTGCGCTGAGCTCAGCGAACATGAGTGGCTCGGTGGATTTGTACAAAAGACGGTTTAGCGTCTGTTGTTTTTCTGCCAACCTCACTGCCGGCAACGAAAAGACAAAAAATATTATCAAACGATCACAATAATAAAAGCGAAATTCAGAACAATAATTTGCCTTTTAAATTCATTATCGAGTACTGTTGTGGAACTACATTAATAATTCGTGATTGAGACGATAACATTATGGGATAGATCCATTGCGTGCATACAAGAATACATATATTCACTTTCAGTTTATCATTTTAATATGCAATTACAAAATCAAATTGTACTACCGGGTAATTCTTGTAATATGACATGTAAAATGATTTAGCGACCTCGGGGCCTCAGTACTATATTCAATAATTTTCAACGGACCGTTGTGAAATATAACCGTTATTTCCCATCATTGACTCCAATTCTGGTCGACATATGTTGCTATCTACATTCCTAATAATGTTCTCATCGAATTATGACTCACCAGGTTTTGAGTGACAATATTGTTTGAATGTTTCATGCATGTAGTAGTCGATTAAAGGTGTCTTTGTTGACTGGCAGGATACAAGTGAACTATACTACAATTTTAGAAATAAAATTCCTGCTAATAAATCGTCTGAACTTAACGTAATAGGGATTTTCAACGCTTTTCCGTATTCAGAATAATGATTTTGAGAACTTATTTAGGAAAAAAGGATATTGAAAATACAGTGAACCGTTGTCATCGGGCCCTACGTGCGACCTTCACTCGTCATCAAATTTAAACAAACCGTGAGGATCGTCAGACCGCTGGGGCCAGACGCCAGCGATAGTGACGGTGAGGCAGAGGGCGGGAAGTCCCAGCTTCATTTCGAGATCTGACTTCAGCTCTTAACAAACTTGCATGCGTGAATCCTATCTTTTATAGCCGCATGCTACTCCTGTCCAGTGGTTACGTCGCTGGTTTTACTTACTGATTGATAACATCAAGCAGGAATACTTCAACATATCAAAACCGATATCTTGATTACAAACTCACGGACAAGTGCATTCTTTTATATCCTCTGAGATAGCTTCCCCTTCAGCAATGGTATCTTGAACAACAATTATCATATATTTTATTTAGTCATCAAAAAGTCGTGACGAATCCTAAATGATTATAACGAACGACTATGGAAGGATTCAAAGTATATTGAATCATACTGCTCGTGGTGTGCTTGGCAAAGATTGAGGAAGATGCAATTCAGTAGAACTGGCCCAATAAATATCATACGAAACAAGAAACGAAAAATTGCCTGTCTGATGACCCAATAATGTTTCACCAGAAAAAATTTGCTTTCGTAGTTTTCTTCACTGTGGGACTGGTTCATTTTCTGGAATCTTCAAATGAAGAATGCTGGGTTTTTGGGTTTTGCCTGGTTACAATTTTCATTGGAACACTTTGTGAAGATGCTCATTAAAGAAACTAAAATGGAACATTAATTAAGAGAAAATCCTTAAACTCCAATGTCTATTAGTGTGTCTTTATTTTGTTATTTATGGCTATTGATCGGGAATTTTGAGCTTCAAGTTTTATCACCTGCTGAAAATGCTTTGTTTAACATATAATAATATAAAAGTACCCGTAATTAACATTCATTGACAATTCAATTCGTAAAGCATCACGCTTCCTGTAACATTTGAAAACTCATGAATCATTCTCGGATATTCTTTTATGTCCAATATTGGAGTTGAATCGTTGATACTGAACTGTGAAACATGTTTGTCGGTATTATTTCAATTTAATTGAATTGCTTATGAATAAAATTTACACTGAATTCTTTGAATCACTTTATTGTATCTGACATAAGTTACAGCACCTGGATTCAACGTACAGATTCTTGATTTATGTGGTCTGTAGGAGCATAGTTTGCTTGTTCGTAAAGGGTAATTTCTAAAACGGTTAGTTGAGAATAGCTTTTTGTGGTTCAACTGAGGTGAATCAATCTCGTAGAAATTTTTGAAAATCCTTCAGTGAGGTGTGAGCAAAATGATAATTTTTCAAGGGTGGTTGTTTTCAAAGGTGGGTTACACGAAACTGGCATGAAATTATGAGGAAATTCATTAAACATAATTCAGGATAGAGAGTTTTACAGAGTTTTCGACGGATAAATATTGAAGTTGACCAGGTCGGTTCAAGTAAACGAAACCCGAATAAATTGTCTTCGTAATCTCTCGCAAATCTAGAAATTATTACAGCATTTGTACGCGCTGACGATGCAATGTCGTCACTGCATTAGTGTATGTCTCCGTGCTTCACTTTACAAATGAAAACAGACATATACAATGGTAGCAATCGCTGGTCTGAATGACTTCGATAGAGTAAAGATCTGGTTTGCCTCCAGTTTTATTGTATGTCCCACTTACTTTTTCGGGATCTTCCTTCATTTTGTTCTAATGCTGCCCTGAAATTTTTTACTTTTTGTCAGAGTTTTCCTGAGACGGAAAATGCCATCGTGTCTATGATTTTAATCGAGACCTGATTGGACGCGCCTCATTTATGCAATGTTTTTGGTAATTTTGCTGTGAGCGGCTATGCTGGTTGAAGATGGACGAAAGGATTCGCTGAGCCTCCTTGACAATTGGAAAATGTTTTCGGTTGCATGAGTATCAGGAAAATAGACTGAAATGTATACAAACGTTCCGCCACACTTGAAGCCGCTTCAACAATGATCTCTATTGGCGCCGGTCATTTCTGATCTAGTTAAAACGCGAACATGTGTTCTGCGTTGACACGTGGCAACCTAGGATAATTAATTAAGTGTGCAAACAATTCAGGATTATTTTACTTAACTCGATTATTGACCCCAGGTAAATTCGGAATTCTACGTATGTATCAAACGGATATATAAAACTTAGTAAAGTAAAAAGTGTTCATAATAAGCACTAAGCTAGACGATCTCTCATTTGGTTTATCTTTATCAGAGTTTTGTAAATTATCTCCAAAATTAAATTTCTTCATGTTATCCACATATTTGTTCATTTCTTTCTTTGATAAACTTTAAAAATTATTTTGGGCTAAATAAGTTGCTCCATAGTTTGACACAAGGTTTCAAGAAAGTCTTGTAGTAGCCAAGAGCTTTTGACGGCCTTCTAACAGCGTCAGCGAAATGAAAGTACTGAATGGCAGCATAATATTTATTCAAGGAACTGGAAAGATGAACGGGATTTCATTGACTCATGTTTACTTTCAGTTAAGAAAGTAATGATTCAATGTTCTCCCTTGAAGTAAATTTTCACAATGGTGTAGGCGTTGTTGTCCGAGGATAGGAAGACGCGCTCATCAGGAATGCGGCGGTCGAGAGGGAAGCCCATGGGCTGGTGGTCGGGGTACTTCTCACCGTGGATGCCGCACAGAGTGTGGCTCTGGGTGGTAGCATCCTCAAGAGCATCGTGCTGTTCATCTGATTCACCATTGGTAACAGAAACCACCAACGCGAATTCCATGCCTGTTGCAGAACCTTTCGGCAGAAGCATCCTGTTAGGGATTCCGCATGATCTAGTATATCGAGCGAAGTCAAAGTCTGAGCTGCCGGCAACGGCTTTGTCGGCTTCGGCAATCAACGTGCTGAAGCTTGGCACGTCAGGTACAGTAACAGAGGAGTCAGTTGATTTGCGCTTGATGACATTGGCTCCGGCAGACACTGATGAGAGAAGCGTTACATTCAATTAGCTATAAAAAAGATGCAGATTCATTTTTGTACTATTCAAATCATGTTATTTGCAACTTTCTTATGAATATCACAAGACACAATCCCAATCTCAAGGCAATCTAACATATTAGTACAAGTTTACATTTGAAGAGCGGTGTAATTACTTAAGTAACTTACGTTTTGTCCAGAACTTGTCCATTTCAATGCAATGCCAGCGACCTTCTTCGAAAGTGAAGATAATTCCGTTGCTGTCACGACGAGGGCACAGGAAGACACGCACAACAGCGTGCTCTTCGGAGTCGCTTTTGATCTCAAACTTGTAGGTGAAGTCGTTATGGTTGAGGCGAGACACGGTCGCGGACACATCAACCTCGTTGACAGATTCACTTGAATCAACAGCCATTTTCAAATCAAATTCAAAATCTTCAAAGTAAGTTTCCAATTTTCCTTCGACACCAACGCTTGTCAGGTGAACTCCAGGGAATCCAATTTCCCCCGCAGTGTAGGGAGGAAGTGAGTCCTTGTGCTCCTTGAAGATGTTGTCCATGTACTTGTGCAGCCTGAAGAAGGCAGGATCGCGAGTAGCTGTTTCGAAGTGTTCCATGACACTAGGAGGGAGGTTGAATTTGCCGTGAGGATCCGCTTGACGACCCAACATGATGTGTGCATCATTGTGGAGTGATCCGTAGTATCGGGCGTTGGGGCTGTATGAAGATGATTCGACAATATCGCCAAGACGGTCGATGCCATTGGGGTTCCTGATATCGATCGTGCTTCCGTCAGCAGCGGTGATGAATCCTTGAGCAATCGCATCCCGTATGCGGGTCTCGTGGATGATCATGTCCCGGACGCGAATGATACCGTCGACATCTTCGAACTTCACGTTGTCAGGACGAGTAGGGAACTCACCGCCGTACCTGTACGTTGTGTGCGGCGCGAAACCCTCTCTGATTGACTTGTCCCAGTAAAGCTCGTCGACAAGTTCCAGGTTATTGGAAAGGCGTTCAGCATCAAATCGGGCTGTAAGCTGGTGATGGGCCCAGAAGAAGAGTTCACCTTTGCGGTCAAGGTGGTAATCGTAAGCATCGTTCCACCAAAAGGGGAAGTCCAAATGCCAGGTGACGTGGTGAACGTTCATGCCAATATCCTCACCGAAGTAGGCAACACGCTGCTCGGGGTTCTTTTTACTTCCTGTGAATTCCATGCGAAATTTACCAGGTGTCTGAGTCATCTGGGCGGTGTAGGCTTTTTGGATCACTTCTGAGTTGGTGAACAAATGGGGGGTGACCTCATACAAAGGAGGCAAGACAATGCCTTTTCCAAGATCGGAGTGAATCACGGCAGCGTACAGAGCGTAGACGAACTCTCCTTCGTTCACACGTTCGCGGAAGTAAGCAGCGTTGTTGATCGCAGTCTCCCAAGTCTTGCTATTCAATAATACATCTAAGAGCATGAGAGCTTCTTTCCGTTGGCGATCATTGAAGAGCGAGAACTAATGATGTTTCTCGAGCAATACGTTTCGTCTTAGGTGACACATGAGGTGTTCGACTGCCTCACCTCCATCTTTGTAAAGTGAGGTGTCTGCATCAGGCTTGAAGTTAGCAGCAGCTGCTTTGAGCTCATCGAACCTCAGTGGTTCAGTAGATCTGTACAACAGCCGATTGATGGTCTGCTGTCGGTGTGCCAGATCAGCTGCAATAAATAATCTATCTTCACTCGAAGATATGCTTATTTCAAAGGAACTAATAAAAGCACGAATTATTCTGATGGAAAATGAAAATTGTTTTCTCTAAAAGTTCATTCGCTAGAAGTTATTCGGTTATTCACTTCAATGTATTTATTTATAGATCGGATTGTAATTACGACTGGATATCCCCAACTAGAAATGTGGTACTTAGATTAAAAACCTGGTACTCACTGATGTAATAGTAAATGAGATGTAAAATGAATTTATAAGTATCATGAACCAACAATATTCTCACATCCTCAATAACCTTTTCCCTCTTCCTTATATGTTGCAAGAGGATTTTCTAATTAGAGCGCCAACCAAGGGTCCATTAATATTTCATTTAAAGATTCATTCCGAATTACAAAGCTTTGAAGCGTTGAAACTATTTTCAATGATTTAAACGACTCCAGTCTTTGAAGCAATACCTTCTAATAAAATTCGAAGAATGCATTTGACTTTGGCAGCAATTGACGGTTATTCATAAGATTGGATGGACATCTAGAGGGCCTATGTAAATTTGAATGTTTTGCGGAAAGATTTTATTTGTGAATGGCAGTAACTCTTGGTTCCATAATAGTTTTAGTTAGTATTATTGCGAAATTTGTTGTCGGTGAATTATTTATAACACGGTTGCTGGAATAGAAAAATAAAATGGAAGAGAACGATGTTGGGCACTAATCGGTTTGTCTTTGAACGGGCTCAGCCACGGGCATAATGTGTACATTCTCAGATTACGAGTGCAGAACTCGGCTTCAACCTAATCTTGTCACAACAACCTAGTACAACCTTACCTAGTCACAACAACCTAGTACAACATAACCTAGTCACAACAACCTAGTACAACCTAACCTAGTCATAAAAACCTAGTACAACCTTACCTTGCAAAAAGAACCTAGTACAACCTTATCTAGTCACAACAACTTAGTAAAATCTTACCTAGTCACAACAACCTAGTACAACCTTACTTAGTCACAAGAACCTAGTACAACCTTGACTAGTCACAAGAACCTATACAACCTAACCTAGTCACAAGAACCTAGTACAACCTTACCTTGTAACAAAAATCTATAGTACAACCTTACCTAGTCACAACAACTTAGTACAACCTTACCTAGTCACGACAACCTAGTACAACCTTATCTAGTCACAAGAACCTAGTACAACCTTGACTAGTCACTACTTAATCTGATCACTGTAAACCTCCAGGTACAAAATTTTGTCAATTTAATTTGGCTACTTTCTTTAAGACTTTACTGGGTATACTTACGCGTCGAGGAGCTAACGCCAGCGACAACGAGGCAGAGGACAGCAAGCACCAGCTTCATGTTGTGTGAAACTCAAGCTGAAGACCAATTTTTTGCGTGCATCTCTGCTTTTATAGCCATTGAATCTTGTTTAGGTCCTTCACATCATGGTCTTATCTCCCCCAATGATCTCCAGATTCTCCACATGAGTGGCTACTGTAAATGAATTTTTTTATCCAATACGTTCTTAAAAACTTGTTTGCGTGATGAACAAGCAATCTTACGCGAATAGCCGAGTGGATATGATAATATTTTTCCTTCGCAACAATCTAACTATAGAAACACAGCGGTTCGAAAACGAATCATTCTATTCTGATTACACTAATTATTCTATGCGCAAAAATGAGAATAGCTATAAGATCATCATCTTCTCGATAGATGTTTTAGCATTCTCACGCCCAGCCAGTCTTTTTTTTAAGAATGATAATTCTCAATATTCGAATACTATAAGAGACTCTATTGCAGTGTCGGAAATACAACAACTTTTTAAGCTTCTCATGAAAAAATGTTTTAATTAGCCAACCAATTATTCGTTTCCTGAGTTATTTTGAACATTCATCTTGAAACGAAACGACATTTTGAAAACTCGTAACTCATCAGGCTATTATTTGTTGGGTTCTAATTTTCAGGAACTCTTACATTTTTACTTAGGAATTGCAGGCGGGATGGGAAGAGTGGTATTAGGTCCTCCTTAACTAGTTCGTGATGCTTCCAATGTTCCCTCATTTTATGTTTAGTACTCGAAGGTTCTTTTATGGTCATGTGTAAATCACAATTTCCGCTTACCAGTTTTGGGGAAGAATTTTACGCCCAATAGAAATAAATTTTAATCAAATTAGAGGTTTAGGCGGCTTCAGATAGGTATATTGCATAGGTCAGTATGTTTTCATTTTTCAGGGTTTCATTTGACTTGTAGGGATGATATTCTCTTGAATAATTTTTTAGACTGGATTTACAGATTTTATTGTATGTATTGTCTTAGTAAGCACAAGGGAAGAAAAAGCTTTCTATCGAGTCAGGAGGTGTGAAAATTCCTTTCTGAATATTGCTACTTATATTGAGTGATATTATTATTAAAATGCGCGAATCAAGTTAAAGATCGCGCCGTCAACGTAGTGCAGTCATTGAATGTTATTTAAAGCGCCACTTGAAGTAAATCACGATCGGCGTAGCTTGAAAACAGTCCGCGCGCTCCACTTCAATCATTAAAAAGAATTGTGATCTTTTTTATTTTTAATCTTGGATTTGAATGATTGGTGAACTTGCACAACCACGCTTTTACTCGTAGTCGTTTTTACTCGAATAATTTTCTGTCAAAACTGCTTATGTGTTTAGTTACACCTCAAACTGAACGCCCCATTATAAGTTCGATATCGTTCATTGCGTCTCGATTAGAATTTAAAATATTGGCTAACGCCAGTTCTTCACTAATTTACTCCTTAAATATCACATTCCTCACTCTTCCGTTTTTAAATTTCTATAACAATTTTCATTCACGTTTAACCAATCATTGAAAAACGATTTGTTGGTAAAAATTTACATCTAGTTGCGCTGGTAAATGGGGAAACTATAGTTGCGTCTAAAATTGCCGGTATTGACCGACCATCGACGCGTTTCCAACGAACTCGGTAAAGTTAGGATGTCAGTAAAATTGAGATTCCATTCAATGAAACATTTGAAATTTTTCGCCAGTTATAAACATTTCTGCAACACGCAAAAGTTCAGTAACAACAATCTTCGTGCTTCAAGCCCAGTCAAGGCGTCGTAAGCGTGGCACAGCCTTGCAGAGAAAAATAATCTTGTCCTCGCCAAACATCATGTAATGTTTTTTTTTCTTTTCTACGATATTCATAACGAAATTTGTGATGCCTAGTGGCAACAGTTGCAGCACTGACAACCTGTCAGAAAAACTGGATTGGTAGTGGATATAATTTTCAATATCAATTGTCATCTCGGTAGAATTCAACGTGCAGCCAACGTTAACACACATTGAACTTCACATTTCTATTGGCCTAATCAACTACATTTTCATGTATTTGGCCAGACAATACAAAGAAATTTGTGGGTTGATATGATTGAAAGTTCAAGCATGATCACTATGAGAATAATTTTCATGAAAGTATTTCGATTTTGCATAATTTAAATCTACAGATTATCAGTTGAAATTTCCACTGGCCATAAACTTACCTCGAATTCTTCTTTTGCAGCAGCCAATGACAATCTCTGACCCCTCACTTGCTCTGTCTCATTTCTACCTTACTGCAGCCAATGACAGTCTCTGGCCCCTTACTTGCTCTGACTCATTTCTACCTTACTGCAGCCAATGACAGTCTCTGGCCCCTTACTTGCTCTGACTCATTTCTACCTTACTGCAGCCAATGACAGTCTCTGGCCCCTTACTTGCTCTATCTCATTTCTACCTTACTGCAGCCAATGACAGTCTCTGACCCCTCACTTGCTCTGACTCATTTCTACCTTACTGCAGCCAATGACAGTCTCTGACCCCTCACTTGCTTTGACTTATTTCTACCTTACTGCAGCCAATGACAGTCTCTGACCTCTTACTTGCTGTCTAGTCACAACCTTACTGCAGACAATGACAGTCTCTGACCACTTCCTTGCTCTGTCTCGTCTCCACTTTACTGCAGTCGATGACAGTCTCTGACCCCTTACTCGCTCTGCCTCATTTCTACCTTACTGCAGCCAATAACAATCTCTTACCCCTTACTTGCTCTGTCTCGTCTCCACCTTACTGCAGCCAATAACAATCTCTTACCCCTTACTCGCTCTGTCTCGTCTCCACCTTACTGCAGCCAATGACAATCTCTTACCCCTTACATGCTCTGTCTCTTCTTGAGTGGAGGCGGGAGGCTCTTCTCTACTTAATTGAAGCCAATGAGGTTAGATTTGTGTGGGTAGTGAGTCGGGGTAAGTTTTGAGGAAGGACCACGCTGGGATTGCACATTTTGCACATTGCACATCTCTGGACAAAAGATTAACTTGAGCGGTGGCTGTGTACCTACGGCGCTATTGCTTTAGACAACTAACTTCATTTGCTACTTTGCCCTCTAGCGTGCCCGACTATGGAGAAAAATATGAACTAAAGTGTAAAGTCGGGACTTGCTTACCTCTAGCGCACACAGAATAGGGTATCAACAATCGAACTATCTTTAAGATTGTCCAGTTCACTATGGCATTCAGTTCTCTATAAATGCTATATATGATGGTCTTTTCTTCAACATGTGTTAATATCAGTACCTGCATGCAGGTAGTTGAGTATCAATGTATCATACATTGAGTGGCAATCGGTCTTTCTTTCGTATAAGTACTATGCGAATACCATGGTGGCCGGGGGGTTAGGAGCTGCAAAGTTGAAGCTGTGAGTTGCGAATTCAAAGCCTCGTAAACGAAAGGCTGTAATAATAAATATGCTGCAATAATTTCGCGACGTCTAGAAACGGACACTGGCTAGGTTTGTCCTAATCAACGCTGACACCATCACTCAACTATTGTACTCGTAAATACCTGTTGTTGCTGTCGTCCTTTCATAAAATCGTACTAACATGGACATCATGAAGAAAACAGTCAAGAATTCCATGAGTTTGTTTAAAAGTACGTGTTATTATACTGTTGTCATGAAATTTTCTCACATCACAACTATAGATAATATATAATTGAGATACGAGCAATCAAATTATAAACCATACAATGCTGATATCGATAGAAGAATTTTACCTTCACGATTGCTTTATCGGTTAACTGTGGTCGGATGCTACTGACAGACTGGCTAGTCAACGCTCTTGACTACAGCGCACCTGTGTGCTGGTCAAAGAAAAACTTTGATCAGGAAAAACTATTTCACGAGGCGGTCAATAAATACCGAATATTTAGGAATGTGTAAATGGACTGTTTGGGGGTTATTATCGAAACAAATCATAATGAATAACTTTGATATGTAATTTGTTGTCCCTGCTTCTAGGAGATCCAAAACTATATTATTGTGTGCTAGTTGCAGTTTTTTCTGGAAATTGTTTACGAATTCGAACAACTTGGTTTCACGTTAGCAGGAAGAGTTTTTCGTTGGATTAAATTTAGCGAACGTGCGTGTTAGTATAGAACGTACCTTAGGTGAACGTACATATCCAGAGCCTAATGACATTTCCAAGTATTTCTCAATAAATTGATTTAGGCGTTTCCAAAATGGCAATGACGGCGTCAATTTGTTTTACTCAAAATGAAGCTGAGGACTGAAACCATTGGGTAATGCGCAATCTTTATTCAAAAACAAACATTCACGAGAACCAATTCATTTATCAAGTATTTTCCTCGATTTTTTTTTCATAGAAAATACTGGTCTAATGATGCTCTCCATGGTCTCCATGCTCTCCATGATCTCCCTTGTGGTAGACCTTGACGATGGTGTAGGCGTTGTTGTCCGAGGACAGGAAGACGCGCTCATCAGGAATGCGGCGGTCCAGAGGGAAGCCCATGGGCTGGTGGTCGGGGTACTTCTCACCGTGGATACCGCACTGGGTGTGGCTCTCTGTGGTAGCATCCTCAAGAGCATCGTGCTGTTCATCTGATTCACCATCGGTAACTGAAACAACCAAGGCAAATTCCATTCCGTTCTCGGAACCCTTGGGCAGGAGCATCCTGTTGGGGATTCCGCATGACCTGGCGTAATGCGCGAAGTCAAAGTCAGAGCTGCCGGCAACGGCCTTGTCAGCTTCGGTAATCAGAGTTTGGAAGCTTGGCACGTCAGGTACTGTGACGGAGGAGTCTGAAGACTTGCGTTTGATGTCGTTGGCTCCAATAGACACTGATTAGAGAAACATAAAATCAGTCAATATGGAATCAGTCAATCCCCAAATTCCAAAATAGGGACCCCCTACCATAATTAATTTCGCTCATTATTATGGGTGTTTCATTCATAAACTGTCTTTTCTAAAAATACTTCGTCAGCAAAATCAAAATGAAGCTAGACAATGTTGGCCTATAATGTATACAAATTTTGTTATTTTTTGCCTGCTGAGGAAGGCAAACTATAAATGGTATG